AGCCGGTAGGGGGGGAGCCGGTAGGGGGGGAGCCAGTAGGGGGGGAGCCGGTAGGGGGGGAGGGGGGGGGGCAGATAGGGCGGTGGTAAAGACAGAGTAGCTGGCAGCTGTGTGTATTACTCGGAATCTCAGGATGGTAACTAGGTAGCCTTGCTTACTTAGGATGCTATCTTGACAGAGTACTTCTTAGGATAAGTACTAGGATGCACAGGATGTAACTAGACTTGGTGCCCAAGTACCAGACATACTAGACACAGCTGGCCATAGCAATGCAAGTCTAGATGCACAGGACACAGAGGATGTAGGAGAAAAATACCGTGGTTCCGGACGTGGCACCCATGTTTCTGATGTAGGATTTATTTTTGCTGATGTTTAAAAGAGAAAACCTTCTACCTTTACTATAGCTGTCTAATGTGTTTTTGTTAAAAGATGTATGATCATGATTCCCATGAGGCATTGGAATTAGCATTTGGGTTTCACATAAGTAGTAAATTAAATTGTAAAGTCCCTGCAATGACAGATTCCAAAAGGTAGTAAAAACCTTTTGACATACAGAATCTACAAAGAGAAGAATATACTTAATCTGTCTGTGTTCACGCTTGTCCAGATGATAATTACCTTGCTGTTTCTTCTACTACTTATACTGTACTTCATCATTTGAGAGCTGGAGGCTTAGCAGGTATGTAATCCTTATCTTCTTTTCTTTTCTTTTCTTGATAGCTTATCATGATATTGTAGCTATTTCATCCATTTTTCTAGATCTACTCTTTCAACACATTGGTGTATACAAGTGCAAGCACAGAGAAGCTTTTTTAAGCACTTAGTACCTTGGTTAGCTTGCTCCTCATTCTCACTGTCTGCTTTTAATCTTTATTTTAGTATACTATGGTTTAGAATAATCTATAATTGAAATTTAAACTTACCAGTACTAAATAAACTTCTTTCATCAATCATACTATTATCAGAATTGGAGGCTGAGCCTAGAGTGTAACTATTAGTATCTGACAAGGAATTCCCTGAATTAGTCTCCATAGTTTTTACTAAAGTGATAATATTGAATAGATATCTGAAAAAGTTAAGATTGTTATAAAAGAATAATTTCTGACTTGAGAGTACAGACAATATTATTCAAGAATCCTTTATTACTAGGTTCATCTACAAGACTTAGTTTACTTTTTTGAGTCCTTATTCCACTATAATAATTATACAAATCTCTCAAAATCACCAGATATCACCAAATATCTTCTTACAACCTTTCTTCCTATGCCCTTATCTTCACTTATATTGCATTTATTATTCTTCATATAGGTTTATAATGTCTGTTAAATCAAGGAGCCAGAGATACATTGAATAAACTATACAATAACTCCAGATTCTACAATTAAAAATATTTGGAAACTAAATGACTGATAGATTTCAAGGTGGGCTATAATTATATGCAAAAAAAAAAAAAATTTAGGCAGATTTTCAAAATAATCATTACAAGTCCAATATTACTCAAATTTTTACATTAAATATATTTTAAGATACTCAGAAGGTGCTCTATATAGTGCTCAAGGCTCAGGACCATCGAACCTGTTTTGTTGTTATCTGAAAGTTTTACCATTTTCGCTCAAATGTACTCATATTATTATAAAACAAATCAGAAAATTGGAACAATAATAATCCTTAAACCTAAGATTATCTACTTTTTGGAGACTCTTGGCATTCTATTGAGCTAAGCCATGTAACATTGGACCTTCAGCCTTGTGCGCATTTTGGAGGACCTGCACCATAATAATTAGGCGCCAACATCTGAGGGATCATCCATCCCTTGTATATTTGATCAACCCTAACCCATGAATGGTACCGCATATGGCAACCCCCCGACAAATCCTCTGCTCCCCTCGAGAACTTTTCGCCTGCGACAGGCTCCTCCGGTTGAGATTCCATTCACACTTCGGTCGTCCTTTTCTTTCATGTACACACTCAAACCACTCCTAAACTCACTAGCTTTGAATCGTGTATTCGGTGCTAGACTTGTTTTGGTACTTCCCATCCCTCTGACTGTTAGAATTACATTTGTCTAACTTATGTCTCACTCAACCGCAGAGGGAAGAATCAGTTGTGCTCCCGTGTAGGAACCCACAAACGAGGTCTATAGGGGCCATGTCGGGGGGGTGGGGGATCCCAGATTTAGGATCGGAAGAAACTCATGGCCTTGGGGGAGAGAAGATGCCACTCCCTACTGAGCCAGACGAACGTACCGGTATACCCCACGAAAAAAACACGGAGCTCGCGTTCCAAACAAGCTACGGAAGTTCTTTGACTCCCACTGGCCAGGATATCCACAAGCTGCAGAAGGACACTACCAGCTCCTTTGCCCATCTGGCCCGGGAGACTGGGTCACCGGGAGTGATACGGGGTGAGCGTAACCAGGGCAAGGCGAAGAAGGAGGAAGGGAAAGGGGAAGATTCTCGATCTAGTGGCCAGGGAGTTTGGTCTTTTATAAGAGAGAGCTCGGGATTCACCGGAAGTGCGACTGCGCCACCAGCTGAAAATACCGGAGTTCGACCTTCCGGGATTCCATACTTTAGTAATTTGGCTGCATCTGGGGGATTCCACCAAGAGAGCTATGATAACTATTCGCATGGGAGTATACCAATGTCGGACCCAGCCAGCAGTGCTCCCGGTTGGGCTCGGGGTGGCACCCACCGTCCGTTCTCTGAGGCCCCAGGATATCCTCAAGACGAGGGCAATTTAAACTGGAGACAGAGCGGTACCACATATTCAGATGGGCATTGGGGGCATCTCCCAGAGGATGCTCCAGGCTGGGTCCATGGGGCTCATCGACATCAATTACCTAGCCGGCAGCAATTCTCCCCAAGCCCTCAGCCGGCATTTTTCGATTCTCCTCCCTGGCAGCAACAACCACGAGGGTACAACAATAACCGGAACCAACGTTCCGGATTGCCGTGGGGTCATCGGCCTCAGGACCGTGACCCGAGGCTTTCTGGTAATTCTACTCCGCTCCCAAAACCGGCTCCCACCGAAGATTATCTCGCGAAGAGTCTCTTGGAACCGCAAACCCTCCCAAGGGCACCGGAGCAACTTTTGGTACTCGATTTGAATGGCACGCTTGTGTATAGGAGGAGGAGGAGCGACACTGACAACCCGGTCTGCCGTCCTGGATTGGAGAGCTTCCTGGATCATATTTTTGCGCACTTTTTGGTGATGGTCTGGACTTCAGCGCAACCTGAGAATGCTCAGCGGATGGTCAATAGAATATTCACCAAAGAGCAGAAGAACAAACTCCTGGCGGTCTGGGCGAGGGACACACTTCAGTTGACGCCTATCCAATACCGCGAGAAGACGACGGTGTATAAACGGCTTACGCGGATCTGGGCTGGCGAATTCAAGTTACGCTTTCCAAGTAACCATCAATCAGGCCCCGGATGGGATCAGACGAACACTATCTTGATGGACGATAGCAGCGTGAAGGCGGCAGGCCAGCCCTACAACCTTATACGGGTTCCAGAATTTGTGGGAATAGTGGAGGGAGGGGAAAGCAGAGTTCTATCCGATTGTATTAAATATCTCGATGAATTGAGATTTCAGGATAACGTGTCAGCCTATATTAGGCGGTCACCATTCTACGGCAGATATTAAGTGTCATGGCAGAGCATGATTGATGCGGGTGGTGCTCTTTGTCTTGGGAAAGTTTCCCTCCCTGCTCACGCATCCGGGATGTGCTGATAAATGGCTTTCCTTTTTCCCTATAGTGGGGCAGATCGCTATAGGGTTTGTTATGTTTTTTTTTTTTCCTTTCTTCATCGGATAGTCTGTGTTTATAGCCTCGGCTCTTTGATGTAGGCTACTCAGCGCGGTCATGTTTCGGTAGAAGTAGCATTTACCTATCCGCCTCTTCCGGTACCGCTTGCATGTATTAATCTCTCCATTTTACGAGCACTTCATCCGTTCTGAGACATGGCGTAAGCAGACATACAGCCATAAAAGGAAGTAGGAAACCATGCCTGAACCTCTGGGTGCATGTCGATTCCTCCACCGGCGTAACAAACCCGGTTTCATACGCCAGCAGACCAGCATGAGCAATCATAATCCCATTATCGATGCAAAACCTCTCATCCGTAGCATAAACATTCCCACCTCTATCCCTAGCCATCAACCCCATCATCTCCTGCAAGCGCTCGTTGCACCCAACCCCACCAACAATAAGAACCTGCTCGCTACCAACGTGCGCCATAGCCCTCTCCGTTATCTCAACAAGCATAGCGAATACCGTCTCTTGCAAGGAGAAACAAAGATCCTCGCGGGTGACTGGCTGACCCTCAGGCGTGAGTAGGGGCTTCGGCTTTCCGGAGAGAAGTTGCGCAGCCATTAGATCGACGACTGCTAGTACTCCGGAGAAAGAGCAGTCCATACCCTTGACCGCGTAGGGGAGCTCGACAAGGTTCTTGCCTTTTTTGGCCATTTGCTCGATGTTGTAGCCCGGCGCTGGGTCGTTGGAGATGTTGAGGGTTCGGGCGAAGCGGTCGAGACAGTTTCCGACGGCTATGTCGAGGGCTTCACCGAATATTCGGTATCTGTGGTTGAGTTCGGGTGTTAGATTGTGAGAAAAAGCGGGGATGAAGAGGAGGTTAAACTTCTGCTCAGCGTATGCTATCACTTGTGTGTTTCCTCCGGAGACGTATAGCACGACGGGATTATTGGCACCGGTTATTTCCCTGCCCATTTCTATGTCTGTTGATTAAAGTTAGGTATCCTTATAGGTATGGTATGAGGGAAGCATACGACCAACGCAATGATTCACACCGACCAATGGCTTTCCCCACAATAGACTTAGAGTTCTAGCAACGATCGCAACAGATTGTAATGGTGCACCCATTCCGGGGCCTTTGGTATAGCAGATGCAATCTACGTCTTTAACCTTTATTCCACTCTCCTTCAGCGACTGTTTAACAAGAGTGACGACCCATGATCGATGATGACTCGCTGTATCCTTTGGAAGGAAGCCTTCGCCGGGAGGTGAAACAAATGTATGGCGTATATTGGAGAGTATCTCAGCGGGTTTGCTAGGAGTATGCCGAATTAGGCCGATGCCTAACTTGTTTGCGGACCCCTCGAGTCCTAAAGCAATCATGATGGGTAGTTGGAGGAGGGAAAGGTAAGTAAGTAAGTGGTGGTTGGGTGTGTGCAACCCAAGGGACAGTCTAGGAATGGAGGGGCATGGTGGGGTAGGAGCCAAGCCGTATCATACATTTAGTTACCCTCCCCACGACACCCAATCACTTAAAGTCACCTTCGGCGGAAAAAAAAAACATATCCCATCCTGGACAATTCCTACCATACAAAATCGAAAACTTCTGTTCGCAATTGGCGGGCAAACAACAAACGAGGGAACTGACAAACCTCCCGGATCGATGCTACGAACTACTCTTCGGCGGATGCAGCCTTCGCCTCGCTCTGCTTTTTCTCCTTTCGTTTGCATTTTTTGCGAGAAGAAGGGGCCCAATCTTGAGCGAGGACTAACGACCAAGGATGTTGGACAATTGAATTCAGTCGAACCCCCACCTATAACAGATGCTCCAGCCAGCTCCCCGAAGAAGTCTGAGAGTCTTATGGATATCCTAAGAAAGGATATGCTCGACCGCAAGGAGGGAGGGAGCCGGAAAAAAGTTGCAAGGAAAGCAAAAGCATCGGAGAAAAAAGAATCTAAGAAGGCAAAGGCGGGTAAGAAGGGGAAGGTTAGTCTCTTCCAAGCAGAGTCCGCAGTTGCTATGTCTCCAAAGAAGAAGAAGGCTCTTCGGGTTTGTTTGCTCTCCCTTCTCATGTGAGTTGTAAGGTGTGTAGCTAATCTACATAGCGTGCTCGTGGATCTACAATACCGGGCCTATCGGTTTTGGGGGCTCTACGGGATAACCCTAAGTACGAGGTGTTGGATCCTAGATCTCAGGAGATTGAACGTACGCTTGAATCTTGCCCCTTTTTTTGGGGGGCCTAGAGTTTTAATTGACTTGAATAGGAATCGAGAGAGAGGACCAACCGGAGGTTGCTAGATTATCGCACGACCTGGACAGGGTGCTTTTCAAGTAAGAGTCTTCCCACAGAAATCGTGCGTTCTGGGTCTAACCACAAAGCAGTCCAGGCGTTCACTACCTTCAAGACCCCCGATCCCGTGTCTACAATTTCGACCCCTACCTCCAAGAGATCATGCCGGTTACGGAGTTTGATTTTGATGCCGTAGCAAGCTACATTGTTTCCTCTGAGGATCAAAGGCTGTCCTCATTAGCCAAAGAACTAGGTAAAAAGTACGTCGGATCTACGTCTAGTATGACTGCAGTTTTGTCGCACTTCCACTTCCTCTTATCCCAATGGCGGCCATTAAACTTCCTGAGTCTTTCGAAAGCTTTCAGAGGAGAGTTTAAAACGTTTACCCAGATAACCCGAGCCCCAGCTGCGATATTTTTACGATATAAAGGGAATGGAACGTATGCTATTGATCCGGATAAGGAATATGATACAGACAGTGTATTGAGCCTTCTTGGCCGGTCAATGGAAAAGTTGCTCACTTCAGCGCCGTCGAATTTCGAATCGAAATATAGGAGGGGTAACCCTAGGTCGGAAGAAGAGCCACTGACAAAACGGCCGGAGACATACCACTACTCTACCCTGGGAGATTTTCTGATGCGTTCGCAGTTGGACGCCCATGACCCTCGGCTACCGGGGACCGGAATGTTTGACTTGAAAACAAGGGCAGTAGTCTCTGTTCGGATGGACATTGAAAATTTCCATATTGGCTCTGGATACCAGATTAAGACGAGGCTTGGCACCTGGGAGTCATTTGAGCGAGAGTACTATGATATGATGAGAGCGGCATTCCTGAAATACTCGCTCCAGGTGAGGATGGGTCGTATGGACGGTATATTCGTCGCTTTTCACAACACAGAAAAGATTTTCGGATTCCAATACGTCTCCCTGGACGAAATGGATGCAGCGATACATGAGGATTGGGGTACCGGAATCGGAGATCAAGAATTTAGGCTTAGCCTACAGCTATTCAATAAAGTTCTTGACAATGCCACCAAAAAGTATCCGGAGCAAGTATGTTTTTCTTGCTGTGATCTGCTTTCTTTATATCTAAATATGTGTGTGTGTTTGGCTAATGATTCGCAGTCACTGCACTTACACTTTGAAACTAGAGATACAGCGAGGAATCCTATGGTTATCGTTGCAGAGCCAATTGACGAAGAAGAGGTTGAGAGGAGGCAAACGGGGAACAAGCGCGATTTGGCAGACTTCCTGGAATCCCTGGATGCGCAGATGAAGGGTGGGGCGGGACTTTCGCCTTCGCTTAAAGACCTTGAAGATCAAGGAAAGGACGGCGAAAAGGGAGACATATCCGACGAGGAGGAAGGCGTTCGAAAAGATATCCAAGAGGAAGAAGAGGCTGATGACGAAGAGGTCGAGGATCATGGCGAGGATGATCTCCAAGAGAGCGGCGAAAGTGAATCAGAGGAAGAGAGTGACGAAAGCGATGTCGAAGATGCCGAAGAGATCGAATCCAACCAGGGTGTCAAAGAGGTTACCATGGGCGGTGTCGAAGGAGATGCTACCGGAGCTCTCAGGGACAACCCGGAGGGGGACTCTGAAGCCACAGGCCTAGCAGGAGTTGGCGACGGGAAAGAAGCGAAAGCACCTGAAAAACTTCCAGAGATGTATGTGCAGGTCATGTACATCAGAAACTATGTGAACGAGAAAGCAGTCGCTCGGCCCACGCGCCTAGGGGAGAGTGATAGCTGGAAAGTCGCTGTTGCAATAGATGAGCTCCCGCTAAAAGCCGCTTATATGACCAACGTGGGCGTCGTAAAGCGAAGAAGGAGGGTCACCGAGCACCGGATGGTCACAGAGGACGATGCAGAAGCTGGGGCATACATTCGGCAGTTGAGGAGTATGTCAAGAGCGGGAAGGGATTGGGCCAAGGCGCAGGAAAAGATGTTTTCCGGCGAGCCCGTTCTTTATAAACCAGGATCGGGTTAGATGGATAGGTGATGGGGACGGGAAGATCTGGAATGATTGAGAAATGGTGGGTCTAGCGTATGATGGTTATCTTCATTTCATTTTTTTGTATCTTATGGAAGGCCGTGTAGGATACCGGTATGGGATTTGTAGAGAGAGGAAATCTAGTGGCGAATATCTCCACTCTGGGTACGTGTTTTTTCTTTATTGGGGGGAGATTTCGCCTGTTTCCTTAGGCGGCCAGTGTTTCTATGTAGATTTACATGTACAGTACTCTGTTGTATGATGGCTATTATCAATCGAGAGGGTCCTATAGCGTGCTTGTATTAGCGTATTACAATAGATGATGCTTCTAGATAGCGTATCATTTGCCATGTACTCGTACTCGTACTGTACCGTACTGTGCAAGGGACAGCGAATATCACGGCGGGTGACGAGATTCCTCCAGCAAAAACGTCGGGTGCGGTACTTTCCCATCGGTCCATCCATCGTCATGTACCGGTACCGTATACATAATATATATATATATACATACTTGTGCCTGTATATACTTGTACACATATACTGTACACACACATCGACCACCCGGAGTCCGGGGCTGAGAATCTCGCCCCCCCCACCATGGCGCATCACCCCCACAAAAACTCGGCACCTTCGGATCCACCCTGCATAACATACCGTACGAGTCTGATACCGTACCATACCAATCCCAATCCTCCGGAGAGCACGATACATGGCACAAAACCAGCCACAGCCACAATATGGGACAAAGCGGGAAAAAGAAAGAAAGAAAAAAAATAGAGAAACAGAGACGAAGAAGGACAAAGGAAGAAAGAAGGAAAGAAAGAAGGGTGTTTCTGTCACGGGATGGCAGCAAAAAAAAAACAAAAAAACAGTTTCCTGCTTGCCTTGTATTGCATTGTACTAGTACGGGAGGGTTACGATGTAGTCTATGGTTTATTACTCTACAGCAGTATGATAGCGGTAATGGGTGCCCGTAATGCTGGTATCATACAGTGAAAAGCGCGAGGGCAACTTGGTACGGTAAGGTGGGAAATGAGGGGGGTGGGGGGGGGTTGATTTTGGTTTGTGATTCTGTGTTTTCCTTAGACCAAGTACCGGTACTCGAGTAGGGTACCGTTCTACGATAGGGTACAGTACTCGAGTACTCGAGTATGATGGCGGGGGTGTCCGTGCACTTGTCAAGTTTTGAGAGATGATTTTCGAGCGGTAGTGGTGGTGGGGTTCTGATTCCAGTTCGCTTCCCACTCTCCACTCGGGTAACTTGGGGGTGGGGTGGATGGATGGCTATTTTTGTTTGAATGGCGGGGTGAGTAATTTAGTTCTGGAGGGGGGGAGTTACGAGAAGTTCTGAGTGGCTACGGTAGTAGCCAACCCGGACTGCGTTTGACGGGCGGGAAGGGAAAATCTCACGATATGGCAACTTTTTTTAAAAAAAAAAACAAAAAAACAAAAAAAACAAAAAACAAAAAAAACAAAACAAGAGCAATGTGAGCGGAGTTGGGAAGGGAAAAAAGGAAAAATACCTCCTCGTGTCTTAGACAAATGCAGTCTTTGACGGACCAAATGTATAAAAAAAGAAAAAAACATCACTACAAGGTAAAACTATGTCTGAAAGGGAGGAGGAGAATTCTACTCGTCGACACTTAGAAACCAACGGCTCATCAAGAGAATCAATCGACAGGAAATCCAGAGATCATCAGAATTACGTTAAAACATAGCCCGGAGTATGTCTCAGCCAGGAGGAATCACTCTGCTCAACCCCACCTGGGAGGTGTCGGAGGCATTTAAGGTCGCGATGGAATACATACCATCACGAAAAGGATCGACAGCCGAAAGTACTCGAGTACTCGAGTGCCATACTCGTACCATACCGTACCAGGTACTGTACTAGTACTCGTGCGGTAGACCCGAGGTTCCAGCCGACCAATCAGACCCCCCCTCCTGGTCTCACCGTATGGTACGTGGACTCGTACTCGAGTATTCAGAAGTATTCGGACGGCTTGGCACCTTTTCGCCTGTCTTGGCGCTAAGGCATCCGGATACTTTTGGGAACGGCTACCGTAGTATCATACTCCACCGCTAAGGGAGGAAAAGAAAAGAAGATGGAAAGGTGGCTGACGCGATCGGGTCCGTTTCGTTACCGGTGTTGGGGTTGGATTAATTACCGCATCCACACTAGAGCACCGCACTGGACTGGTGCGGTGTGGTAGAGGTCTGGCGCCACTACCGGTATGAATCCGGGACGTACCCACTCGAGTCCAGCACCCGACCGTATCATAGGCTCCAATTCACGGGGTTGCTCGCCCATGTCATGCTATGCCGGGCGTCCATAGCACTACCGTGTACAGCGCTGTACCTGTATTATATGGTGCTCGAGTAGGGGAGATACGGCACGATTTGGTTGATCGGGTATGTACTCGAGTAGAGCGCTATGACTGAGCTACTGCTAGGGACACGAACGCCGGTATGGAAAGTACAGTGCAGGGCAGTAGAGTACTCGTACTGTGCTAGTATACAAGTAGTAAATTTACTACTAGTACGGCATCGCAACGCTTTACCGTATCATCCTTGTGGCCGCACAGCACCCATCATTTGTTTCATCGCCGCACCTCCTCCTCCCCGCCTTGTGAATGAATATCGTCAGTTTCGTACGATTTCGGATGATATGATGAGAAGGAAGGAAGAGAGAGAAGCTTCTCAACTTGGCTTAACCACGGGATTGTGCCTTTTTGCGGGGGTTCATTGGTGGGGAAGGGATGTTCCGCGAGGTTGCATGTGGTGCTGTATGGTTAGTCTAGTTTGTCGAAGACAGGGGTGGTTGCATAATAGATCTGCTCCTTCGGCAATCCACACATCCATCTGCATATCGCCCCCACTCCGGTCGGTTTTCGTATCGCAGAGTTAGTTAGTGAATGGTTACCTGTCGGGGCAACTCTTTGTGCTTTTTACACCGAAAATTTCGTGCTGATCGGCGGCTGTTGATGCTGGGCCAGCTTTGCCGGTATCATACAAGCGGAGGTAGTTGGATAAGTTACGGTACTCGAGTGGAGAGGTGATAGGTTACTTTAAGCAAGTTAGGTTTGGAAGGGCGAGGCGGGGGAGGGGAGATCTGGGACCTAGGTTTGTGCTGTTGATGAGCTTTGGAGGATATCGGTGATGACATGTTATATTATATCACATCATGCCATACGGTATCATGCTGTATCATCACGGGCCGGATATGTGATTGTGCTCGGCAAAATTGGACATGGGGGGGGGATTACAGGCTTTTCCCCTGGTGGTTTGCCTGTGGGGGCAGGAGTTGTTGGGCGCTTGGGATGTGATACTCGAGCAGTGAGCTAGTCCTTGCACCCTAAGGCAGAAGCAATTGAGTATGATGCTCGTACCGTACCTCGCACCGTAAATCAGAGTGTGGCCCCTGGGGAGAGCCAGGCTGAAGGCTAAAGGTGAGGAGGTTTAAGGTAGACAGGTCCGCATTTACGGTACCAAAATCGTGTATCATAGCATCTGCTAGACGATTGGCCGACATCACCTCTGTATGTCGGCATGTGCTGTCACCAATACTCTAGTTGCGGTACAGCTCATTGGCTCGAGTCCCTGCTCCGTCCTGAAATCATTTCAGATCCCCCCCATTTCCAATTCCATCCTCATGGCGTCCTCGCCATTGGCTCTTTCTCTCTCTCTCGCTCTCTCTCGCTCTCCGTTAACCTTTCGGCTCCAGTTGCGGACCGTCCAGCGCCCGGCGAGCAATCGCATCGTAGCGCTCCGCAGGTACTCGAGCAGTTAGTGAATGGGGGATCACCGATGTGTAAGCTACGTATGATACCGTATGCACAACTTGATAGGGTGAGGGAGCACCGCGCCTTGGCCAAGTTAACTTTATTTTTGCCCATTGCATGCGGATTCAGCTGATCGGGTGCACGTACGAGTACTCGTACAGTGGGAGTGCAGCACAGATAATAGCTTGTCTGTTATGGCCACGGAGTACCGGTACGGTATGGTATATTACGGTACGTCACAGCGACCACTGTTCTGTGTTGTACGAGTACGATACCAGCGACGGAATAGGTTGGGGGGAGAGGGCAGTGTAATTGCGGATGACATTCCGAAGGCAAGGAAGGAGGAAGGAAAGGAAGGTGATTGCGAGAGTTTTTTTTTTTTTTTTTTTCTATTCTACTTTCTCGTACGAGTATATTCCATGTTCGCTATTATTTTTTTTATTACGCGGGTAGCGGTAGGGGGGGGAAGGGTTAAAAGGAAGGAGAGGAAGTACCAGTATAGTACGAGGAGGCACTCGAGTACTCTACTAAGCAAGCAAGTAGTGCCTAGGAAGAGGAAAGGGAAGGAATGGGTAAGATGGATGGCAGATTGGAAGGGGAAAATGCTACCGTACTGGGGGGGGGGGGTTCCCAAGTGTCTGTCATACCGGTACTCGAGTATCATACAAGGAACCTGTGCGGTACTAGCACAAGTGCATAGCTCAACTCCGCGAGCTGTGTCCTTACGAGGGAAACGCCCTCCCCATTGGGGACGGGGACAGAAGTGAGGTTCGGCGAGTGGCATCACAGAGATTGGGAAACAGGGGGATGGGGGATGGGATTTTCCTTTTTGCTATCATAAAGTTTGGCCTATGCACTGTAGAGTAGATAAGAGTGAGATAGGGCGCGATTGCATAAAGCTTTCGTGGTGGGCTGTGTGTGTGGGCGATCTGCCCCGCTTGTTGCTTTCCTTTCCTCTCTTTCCTTTTTCCTTGGTCTACAGTACTCGATAGCCGATTGCCGCAGTGAATAGTCTAATCAGCAACATCCATCCATCTCCAGACCCTAGCTGGTTGACTTTTTTTCTTCTTCCCATTTTTCCCATTTTCCCATCCCTTCTTCATTTTTTTGGCCAGTCGTTCCTCTCACTCTTTTGATTGATTTCCTTTTTCTCCCTTCCTTCCCTTTTCCCTTGTTGTGGTGCAGCTTGCAGGCTGCCGGTGGTTGCAGCTATGGTACCGTACAGCATTCGCAGGGATTGATGAAAGCGGCGGGCTGTTTTTCATTGGCCGAGCGTAACTCTACTCGATGGCCCACCACTGACGCAAGCATGTGTCTTTCGGTAACAATCCCTCCAGGACCGTGCTCAGTGCTCACTGCCTCATCCAGCGCCGTAGACTACCCTGCACTGTTCTCGAGTACCGTACAGTACAGTACTCGAACATGTATGAGTACAGTACCGTATGATGCTGCTGCTTATACTGTACGAGTATCATCATACTTGTACCGGTACACAGCTTTATTTATTACTCTTATTATTGTTATTTTCTTTTTATCCCCTCTGCTTTTTCTTTCCTTTTTCTGCTATTTTTTCTGGCGAGCTCTCTTCACTCGATCTCTTGCTCCCGAGCTGAAAGCCGTCCTCCTCCTAGTGTTTACATCTTTACCCATCTGTTTCCATCTGTCCATTGCATTGAACAGCTCTCCGTCTCTCCCATCTCTATTCCTCTCGCTCTCCTCCCCTTCCCCACCGCGCCAGTACTGCTCTGCTCGCTGCACAAGCACTCTCATACGGTAGCACTGTGCTCGTAGATTGCCAGTACCAATGGTACCCGTAGCTCCTCTCGCTTCTCCTTCCACCCCCTGCCTTCCTACCCTTTAACCTCGTATGTTTCTCTCCCCTCCTGTACTCGAGTATCCGCTCCACCCACCACCTTGTACTTGCATGCAATTCTTGTCTCTGGAGCTGTCCATCCCATTCTGCCACTCGTGTTTGGCTTGCGTGCTACAAGTACTCGAATACAGTACAACTTTCCATTAGCCATACCGGTACCCTGTCCATATCCCTCCTTGCTCCCTCGTCCTTGTCCCTTTCTCTTCCCAGTCGCTGTAATCCCTCCTCCACCTTCTCTTCCTTCTTTTCTCTCGTCATCCACAGTTCGCCGCCCTCCCTTCTCCTTCCCTTCCCCCTCCCTCCTCCTCCTCCTCCTCCTCCTCCTCCTCCTCCTCCTCCTCCTCCCCAACTCTCCCCACCTCTGCCCCGATTCCTCTTCCCTTCAATCCCCTTGCCCTTCCTTCCCCCCCCCTCTCCTCTCTCGATCCTTCTTGAGAGCGATTGAATACGGAGTCCCAGAACCCTCGACAATCCTTTGCTCGGCTGTCGCTTTTTTTAAAGAAAAGAAAACAAAAGAAAGGAAAAAAAAAAAAAAAAAGACCCTTTGAATTCTATGGGGCTGATCGCTACAGCCCTCATCCTTTCCCTCTCATCGGGTGCCGTCTAGCATTGAATTGTTATCTTCGTATACAATTTTTTGCACCAGCATAGATCTCCGTGTCAACCCAGTCCATTGAAGATAGACGTCCCTTGTTGCTTCTTGTTATTATTCTTCCAATTCTCCGTCCCCGGATAGCAGGAAGGTATCTCTAGTGATCGCCGTATTCCCGTCCCCCGTTTTTCGGGATCCCGTTCCGCCTCTGTGATCCTGTCTCGGGCAGTTGGGGTGTTCACTTGTCCTGGGCCTCATTTGCGGTGGGAGAAGCCACGGGAGTAATAATTTCTTGCCCTTTTCCTCTCCGGTTGGCGTTCCCCGGGCAGTGTTATTTTTATCTCGTCAGGTCACGGTTCAGTAAGCAATTCGCCGCATCCGCCGTCCTTGTCGTCGTCACCTGTTACCCGTCAGCTGGGCCTCGATAGACCATGTCCATTCCTCACGATGTAAGCTCCGCTCGCCGGAGGAGCTTTGCCTTCTTCTCCCGACCAAACAATCCCCCGGAAGCCGACATTACCACCTGGCCAGTCAGGGAGTTGATCACGAAACAGAGGCCAAAGTCCGCCTTCTTTACAACCGGCGGTACTGGGTATGAAGAGGTTGCTACCGTGGTTTGGACAAACATAGGTTCCCGCCCCAGGCTTCTCACGAAAACCCTTGGCCCGCGTCCCAGATCGATGTTCGCATCCTCAAGGGGTAGGGACCCCGGTAGTCCCCAAGTTGAATCGTCTGCAAGTTCTTCGATCGGTTCCTCACAGTCGGACAACATGCCTCTCCTGCATCCGAGCAGCAGGGTTATCATCCATTCGGGAGAGGTGGTTTCAAGCGGTGGCCTTCTGCGGAGGAAAAAGGAATTTATGGTTTTGACTAGCGATGAATTGTTAAGATACAAGTCGGAGTCCAAAGCTAGCGAGGCTTTTGGATTGAGTGCACGGTCGCCAACGACTGGGAGGACACCTTCGATTGGTTCGGCCGGTGATTTTGTCAGTGAACATGCTTTGGTCACTATGATGAATCAGGTTGTTGCCGTCTACCGCTTCGGCTGCGAGGGGGAGCTCGCTTGCTCCGTCCAGGTTGATCACCTCGACGACTCTAATGGAACGCCTTCCTCGACAATTCTACAAGTTGGGTCATCCAGGGAAGCTCAGGAGTGGTTGGATATATTACGCCAAGTATCGCAGACTTGCAGGTCTGCTAGGCCACCATTAGCCTTCTCGGATTCTACCGTTAAACATATCGCACGCCGGCTTGAAGCGGATAAGGACTATTCGCCAGCCCACTTCCAGATATTTAGAATCGTGCAAAGATGTGGAAAGGTCCAGGGGAGAGCTGGGTCGAGCGAGGATCTACACAAGATGTACTCGACGATTTGTTACCTCGTCATCGGAATACACAAGGTTCACTTTGTTCCCCTGCCCAAGTGCCCTTCCAACAACAGCAGGAGCACCACTTCACTCCTTTCCACTGCAACACCAAGCTCTCACGGGATTCTAAATCTCGTTGGGATTGCAATTTCGGATGTGGACGATTCATTCACCCTTACCTTCAGGTATACTCCCCGTGAATGTTTGGATGGATGGATGGATGGATGGAGCTTGGTGCTGACATGTGGGTAAAAAAGATCCCCTTGCAGGCCGCCGCAGAGGGTTCACCTGGCTTCTACTGAAGCCCCTGAAATAATACGGTCAATCTGCCAAGCTGCAGAGCACTTACGTCCTAACTGGCTCATCCCTCCATTCTCTATTGACATACCGCAGAACATGAAGGATGAGTCGATCCCGGAGATCCCTCCGACCCCGGGTGATGACTATAACGGCTTTGACCGTACTCTATCTGCTTACTGTGGGGACCACTATCTTCGTGCCTTTACCCGGTTTTTCGCTAATCTGTTCTTTAGGCACGGCTTATGATTTGGATGCTTCGAACATTGTCTATGGAATCCATACCGAAGTGGAGGATTCTCCTCGATTCGTGCTCTACCCACCGGCCTACTCTAGGCGGCGCCAATACACGGATCTGGAGTTGCTTGCGGTCATGAGGTCGCTTAGATGGAACGAGGCGTTTGCTTCCTTATCCTTTCGCGGGATTAGTTTGGAGGCGTTACACGGCATAGTCGATACGCATGGCACAGAGAATGAGCCAAATTGCAGTCGATCCGGACGGCCTATCGGCATCAAGTCGGCTGGCAACAGGAGGTGTTCGCTCTTGATACACGAAATTCGGGCATTGGCCCTATGCAGCAGCAAGTTACGAAGGTTGGATGTCTATGAATGTATGAGACGAAAAACGCGCAGGGAAGACCTTGCTGGAACTTTCTCCCCCGAGGGCGGATGTGGTATTGTGGAAGCTGTCATGCCATTGTGCAGGAGAGGTCTAACAAACTGTGATTGGTTTGATCTGACGGGAATCGAACTGGTTGAATCGGATCTTGATTGGCTTGTTGATGCGGCCGCCTCCAGGCTTGCCCATTTCCGTGGTTTCGAACTTGCCCGCTGCGGCTTGACGGAGAGAATGATGACCCTGTTTCTCAACGCGCTGGCTACCCACGAGAACACCTTGGAATCGTTGAACCTGTGCGGGAATCCCGGCCGGATACACGCCCCTAGTCTTAATAATTCGATGTCCTATTTTCCATTTCTCAGGAAATTGAACCTTTCACGGCTCTTACGGACCTCCGGCGAGGATCCACTGCTCACGGCAGAGACATTGCTGAGATGGAGATTGGAGGACTTGGACCTAAGGTACGGTCGATGGCTTAATTCTCGGATAGTGTTTGCTAACTAGAAGTAGCGAGACAAAGCTTAACAAGGAGACTATTGACGCCGTGGCAGCGTACCTTGCTAGCTCACAGTCCGACTCACTGCATCACCTGACTCTTACTCAGTGCGGTCTGACCTCAAAGGATGTTGCTGTGGTCATGGGTTCAATGTCACGAGCATCGGGGAAACCAAGAAATATGCACCTCTACGTCGGGCAGAACCCGCTTTCAAAGCACCACGACGCATTGGTTGAATGCATTCTTTCGGGGACTACTCCATCTCACTTAACAATGAGAATGGTGGACTACCCTAGGGAGGAAATGTTTCGGGAGTTCGTAACGGCAATGACTGCCAACAAGACTATCAGTTTTCTTGATATATCCAAGGTCTCTTTGCCATATGAGGCTGGTCAAGACACTTGTGCCGCTCTGGGCGCGCTGTTCGCGAAAAATTCCACTTTGAAGGAGCTTGATATATCTGGAGAGCAAGCTGTTCTGGAAAGCGCTAGGTATGATTCTTCTATTGCCACCGTTGTAATGCCCTTGCTGACGTGTTGGATAGTTTGGGAGCTGGACTTATCAATGCCCTGGGCCGGCTTTCTGAGAACAAGACTCTGGAAATTCTGAGGATTGAGCGTAACGCCCCCCCCCCCCCCACACAGTTGATAGCCCTGGATGGCTGCTTATATCTAGTTCATAGTACAATCGCTCGGCACTCCTGGTGCAATGGGGTTGGCCTCCATGTTAACAAAGAATACCGCACTCAAGGAAATTTATTGCGAGATGAATGAGATCCATCTTCAAGGCTTCTCCGCCATAGTTAATGCTATGGAACAGAACGAAACGCTACTATATCTCCCCCGCATGGATCGTGACAGGGTCGAGCACATCAAATACCTCAAGGACAAGTTGTTTCAGCCCAGTAAAACCGCAGTTAGATCGGCGGCCAATTACCATAAAGGGAAGGACGGGAAGAAGGAGCACCACCACAAGAAGCTGAGAAGGTTGAACAAAGGAGAGAAGAAGGTAACCTTTGCGGATGGCGTACTGGGGGCCACTGGGGTGGAGCAAAGCCTAATGCTCCTCGACGAGAAGTGGGAGAGTGAGGCGCAGAGACTTGTCAAATTCTTGGCCAGGAATGCGCAGTTGCATGACGAAAAACACAATGACCGCGCCTGGGTAGTTCGTTGAACCATTTGCTTTTGTTTTGATTCTTTCACATTCTTTCTCTTATCATTGGCTCTTTTGACCTTTCTTCCTTCCTTCCTCACTGCTGCTACGCCCTTTCGCTTCTCCTTTATGGGTGAGTCAACAAAAAGAACTTGCTACTAAAAACTCCTTTCCACCTTTTTAAGTTGCCTGTTTTATATTTCATCAGCATTTTTACGGTTTTCATAATTCGCATTTCATCGGGTTCGGTATTTTCTTCCCATCTGCTGTATTTCCTCACTTTTCCTTTCCTGGGTCGGATGCATAGGGAATGGAGTTCTTGTTCATTGCTTCTAGTTTCATCTTTCTTTCTTTTCCTTTCTTCTTTTCTCCTACCCCTTTCCCTCATTCCTACTCGCTCACCTTTTCCCACATTGGCACCTAAACCCACTTAGTGCCGGGTGAAAAGAGAGAACATCGAAAATAAAAATAAAGTTATGATGCATTAGTCTTCATCAGAGTTGGTGTTCCCATACCGGTGGAGTAGCCATCCTGTCCTACTCGAGTACGGTTTATTATGTATACCATCATTGCGCATGCGGTACCGGTATGTATGATAAAGGAAATGGGCTCGTACAGAAATGTACTTGTGGCATCATCATCTCCTAGCATATTTTTTCGCAAACGGTAACAACTTTCACGTGCGAGCCCATTCCCGAACTCTCAAAGCCCCTCGGATACGTGTAGAGGATACCGTAGGTCCCCGAGTCCAAACACGATCTACAAGTACGAGTACGAGTACTCGAGCGCGGTTTTGGTAAATTTACGGTATGTGCCTACAACAGCCAAAGAAGCAGGCACAAAAAGCCCTTCATCTGCAAGCGGCGATCGACACAACATGCTGGCGAGTCTATTAGTTTGTATGACATTTCACTTTTACCACATCCTGCTCGAGTCCTCTTACCGTAGTTTGAAAGTGACGTAGTCCCCGGATTGCACAACCTGGTTATGCAACAATGGCCACGGTAAGTTAATGAATATTTGGGCTACTGTCAGGCTTGGCACAGTGGTTGGGCGTGGTAATATCAGAGCTGTGGACTACTACGTTATTGGTGGAGTACTGTACCGGCACAAGCGTCCGACATAAAAAAGTGGCACGACGCACACGCATCGACGTTGATCTTGGTCAAAACTACTCGTACCGTATCGTAGGGCTATCATACACACCTAAACCAACATAGATAAGCCTTTAGTTGCCGGATCAGGACCCGAAGAGGGTCATCTCCATCCCTGACCTCCACCCCCCTCTACGAGTATCTGATATCACACTTGTACTCGAGTATGATGGGTGTATCGAATTGGAGGCGAGCCATCTATTCCATCGATCATATCGGTTCAGGAAGAAAGAAAGATAAAAATCGACCAAAGGGAGAGGGAGTATGACACAGTTCCATGCTCATACTAGAGACTTTGCGATTTCGCATCCAAAGTCAAATTCTAGCGATCTCATTGGCCCAGAACCCTGGTTGACCCACATCCCGAATCTTTTCGCAAAGAACCTACTGCACCCGGAAATTCTCTACGGTATGTGGCCACGTTCCCATAGTGTGTCCTACCGCCGTCAGTGAATGCCAACAACCTTATTTATCTTATGCACCCTCTTTACAGCACTGTACGTACAGTACCGTGCCGCTGGTTAAGGATACGGCAGCCATACGGTAATTTAGCGGTAGGAGAGCGAGACGCCATACTTGAGGTCGATTTCTCGGAACCAGACAGAGGCCAAAATATAGCAAAATTGCGGGTTATCGAACCACAATAGCTCCACAGGTATCTTGAAACTGAGCTTTGGGAAAAAAATTAGAGAACTGTGGGCACATGAACCGGATAAGACGGGTTGCGATGTACCTTTCACATACAAAAACCGTTGTCTTGGCAGGTACCTCATGGGAATGAACATTCCACGCCTCACAACTCTGGGAGAATTGAGGGAAAAAAGCCACACACCCTTTTTTATATGTGTGCTATTGTAGCGGGTTACTTTTTGGATTTTCCCCCTGTGTTGTTTCTGCCCACGGTGGTTGTGTGGTGGTAGCTCGGAAACCCTCACTTTTGGTGTGTTTTGGCCCCTGGCTGGATACTAATTTAAACGGCCTCTATTGGCCACAGGACTGGGGCCGCAAACCATATTAAGTTGGTCGGGTGGATCAGATAAGAGTAATTCGGTGAAGACTCCTTTTGTCACAATTCGCGCGTGCTGGTGAGGTAGTGTAGGTGGTGCACCAGTGTCATACAGTTCAGTATGGTACGCTCCCGGTTTTAACCCGTCTACGATATAAGCACATTATCTATTCCTACGTGTAGAAATTGCTGACGTCCGGGATCGTTCTGGTGCCGAGTGGGCCACCGACAAGTAACGGAAAGTACCGGTACTAGGATGATGATAGTCTACGAGTACGATACTCGCACTGTACAGTACCTGGAGCCCCCCACTTCCTTGCGGTGTGCACAGGAGGCAGACCACCCGTACAGCACTCTACGGTGCGATAGCCACGCCGCACTAGATACGGTGCAGTAGTACGGTAGTACTCGTACAGTACGAGCGGATCACCTTACTCGGCGAGCAAAGCGGAACACAGTGCCTCGAGTAAGGGTGTGTGACATCACGCTCTACCCCCCCGCCTCCACAAAATACCGGTGCGGGGCATGCAGTGCGCCACACTGTTTTACCCAGTGTTCCGTACTGCACTCGTACGGAACATGGGTGCCAGTACCATATGATACAAGTACGGTACAGTACCGGTACTCGCACACAAAAGTCAAAGCAATGTGGAACGGTACGTCATCACGGGATGATCCGGTATTAACTGTGGGTACATGCAGGGTACAGTGCTTGTTGCTTGGCTGCGTTAATGGTGAAAGCGGGGTACAGTATGATACGAGTACAGTACGGCAGGAGCCGAATCCAGTTGCGTGCTGCAATTAGGATGGGGGGGGGGGTTCATGGTCTACCATACCCTGCCAGACCGGTAGCGCGGCATATGGATAGTACTCGGTGAATAACTTACGAGTACTTCTACTCGGGGGGTTCGTTAAAAACCGGAAACAATCCACGGTGAAACAGAGGCGGGGGCGATCAGACGATCACAATGTCACCAACGTGAAGAAAGTTTTGGGAAAATTTTCATCGCAACAACCAGTACCATTACTACTCCAACCGACCAAAAACAGCCAATAACCACAACCTGATCAATGGCACCAAAAAAGTGACCAAAACTCACCCATATGAGTACAGAAGATCATGTTGAGGTCATTAAGAAGCATGCTGAAGGAAAACCCTATTGTGAAATTGCAAGTGAAGTTGGTATCTCCATATCAGCTGCTCATTGAATTGCAACTACCTTCGAAAAAGAAAAGAAAATTCACCATGTACCACACTCTGGAAGACCGAAAAAGTTTTCTGAATGGGATAGATGATATGTCTACCTCCTTTCTATGTGAGACCCTCATGTGACAATTGCAGAAATTGCTACGAGTTTAAGCTTGAGGTATTGGAACACTTGATGGGTGAGACTTTGGGGGATTGGGAGCTCTGGGTTCACATATGTCACCAGAAGCCATGCTATAATAGATAGGATAGATAGAAGTGGAAAGAGTTTGTATGCCAGTATTGAAATTCTCCTGCAAAGTGGTGGAGAAGGCAGGTTTTAACTGAGGAAGTCTTCCTGCAAGTTGGTTGAAAAGAACCGCAAGCCAAGGTACGACAACTGCCAGGAACAGCTTTTGACGAATACAACTTAGCACCCTCTCCCCAGGGTGAACCGATCACAATCTGGTTCTTTAGTGCATTCTCATCCTCGTAGCATGCCCCTCGCATTTCCATTCGAAAACAGACTGAAGAAGAGCATACAAGCAAAACGGATAAATTAGGCCTCAATTCAGTTCAATATGTTAATGAACTGATGCTCCCTCATCTTCTACCTCTTTATCACAGAATGGGAGGCATGGATAGAGGATCATTAACTATAGAGAATGGTGCTCCATATCATACTTTTGCCTATACTTGCACAGATCGGTATATGCATAGTATTTGCAGAATGGACTGGCCCTCACTCATCAGATATGAATCCCATTAAGACCTTATGGTCTCTTTGGAAATCCTGTTTCTAATGAGCATACCAGAACTCCTACCTACAATATCATGGTTGTGATGAAATCATCAAGCTTGTGCAGAGGATATGGCACAAACTTCGATAGAGGGAGATATATAGATGGATTGATAGAATGCCGGCTAGAATTGCTATGCTATCACAGAGGCATGGAGGTCCAACTCGCTGGTGAATGTACTATTTATATCATACTTTTCTTTTCTCCTCTTTTTTTAATTTTATTGGCTTGTAGCTACTATCATATTGTTAATCGTTCATGCTGTTATTCTCTTCCTGGGGGGTGCGAAGCTGTATTTGCCTAAAACTTTCTTCATATGGGTGATGTCTGGAAAAAGAGATGGGTTATGGAAGAACTTAAAACAACTTTGGTTGCACTGAGTGATCTGCTATAATAGTAAAAATTGAACACTTTGGGAATTGCAAACACAGGTCCTGAGAGAAAGGAGATAGGTAAAAGATATATTAACTAACAACAGTAAATAACATAATAATACTAAGAACATCATCAAGTAGATAGTTAGTTTTGAAGCACTAAAAACAAGGAGGAGGATAAGATAAAAACTTAGATTGGAAACAGAAATAAACTAGGAATAGAAAAAAAATAGATACAGGAATGGGGGACTAGGGCTGGGAGGAGGAATATCAGCAAAAAAAAAAGCTTGCATTCTGTGTGTCCTGTGTGTTAGACATATAGGATGTACAGGATACAAACTTTTAATTAGGATGCAAGACAGTAACCATCAAAACTCAGTACACAGCAGTCCTTGGTACTAGAACTTAGGATGCAATGGTTCTTGGCACCAGAGTTCAGGATACAATGTTTCTTAGCACTAGAATTCAGGAAATAAGTAGGATGTAATCCAATACTGTAGTTATTCTTAGGATGCAAGGGAGCACCAGTTGTGTGAAAAAGGGTTATAGACATCAGGCCCTGACAAGACACACAGAAAAGCCTTCTCTGAGGGTAAGAAATCTCAGTTGTTGTAACAATCTGATGATGCCAAAATCCAATTGTGAAAGAAACTGTGAAATTGATTGCAAGGATTGTATATCCATGATTGAACAGCATGCTGCCAGTCAATCTTACTGCAAAATTACTCAGAAACTTAATCTTTTAAAAAGTATAGTATATATGACGATCGTGACCTCCTAGTAAGAGCATCATAAAAGAGACACTGCATTATAGTTAGGAGTACAGAGGAAATTGGCTTCAAGGGATAAGAGATACCTGAACGTTATCTTGTAGCAAGACCCCTATGCAACATTGCATGATATTATAAGCTGCCTAGATCTTAATGGTTCTGAATGTACAGTAGCAGACTTCCTATGATGGCAAAACCTATAAGTCTGAGTCTGCTGTTGCAAACCTTGGTTAAGTTCTAAAAATTGCTCTTTACAACAACAATTTATATACCTCTATCACAAGTGCTTGGGCACTATGTAGAAGTAGCATGTTTATACAAATGAGATTTACCTCCAAGTTAGTCTATAACAACTCTGACCTACTGTTGGTT